AAAGCTTCAATATTTTTCTTGCTTGTGTACGTTAAATAACATGACTTATGCCAATACCATAAACTTATATTTCCAAGCTTGATGTCTTTAATTATTTTGTGAATTTGTGAATCGGAAACTTTGGTTATGCCGTCTCTAATTTTTGTACATTCTATGAAAGTTAGTGCAGTTTTATTAGTAACACTTAAAGATGCACCTTCTCTTTTGAAAATAATACATATTGGACGGAGCTTACCCTTAAATTTTAACAAACATTCAAGATCACTTTCATCACTTGTACCGGTGCTATCTGTACTATCCATAAATATTACCGGAGTGAGATAGCAGCCGACAAATCGAAACCACCCGGAATCAATCATGGGAGTTTCGTCACTTTGGGGGCATCTTGGCCTCAACCACAATAATTGACTGTTGTTGACTATGCATCATAAAGTAAAGTCATAAAATCATCAATATTGTCTCAGAATGTTTAAGTAAGTAACATATAAGGCGCAAGGACACAATTTTGATAATGTTTTGTTATGATGTCAGGGATGATAGATCAAAATTTGATCTCTCCTAAAACTGTACATAGGATCAAGTGACGTTTATACTCTAAAAAGAGGACAAACAGGCCTTTCCAAAACAATTTTGAAAAGTTTCTTGCAATCTTTGCATAATTATGCGTATGAACATACGCATGAATAGGCACAGTGATATTTTTCAAAACTGACATAGATCACGTGGGCATTTATACCCTAAAAAGAGGACAAATTAGGCCCTTTTCCAAACAATTTGGAAATTTTCCTTTGCACTTTCCGTTCTAAAGGGCAGATGGCAATAATTTGGCATATATAAAATATATATATATATATATATATATATATATATATATATAAAAAATATACTGTATAACATATGTATGATATGTCAAAGTGATATTTTTCAAAATCTGTACATAGGGTCACAGTGGAAATTATACCCTTAAAGTACCTGAAGAAATCGCATGTAATAAAAATTTACGCGCAGTGCATACACTACACATGCAAAAGGTTTATTATTGAAGTTAGAGATCAAAGGAATGTGTCCGTCTACAGCAGGTCCAAAAATTATTGCCACAAGAACTCACGTCTGGACAATCATCGGACGTCGCATGGAGGTTTGCCATGAACCGGCTAGCAGATCCGATTTTTTTACATCATGCCAAGCTAAAGGCTACTGACGCATGCCACTATTGCTTGAAACCCAGATGCGACGCGATGCATATGGTAATAAAATCCCCACAAGTCCAAGGAATTTGGCAGTTGGTTCGACGAACTTGTGACGCTCTTCTCTATCCTAGGACAACCACACTTTGCATGGTCATTAGCGGAATAAGAGGAAAAAAGGAAACCGAAGTCTTAGCAAATTTTCTAATATCTTTTGCAAGAAGTACCATTTATAATATTACAATTAAAGACATAGAAAACGACAAACGCACACCAAAAAAATTCGTCGCGTGGTGGGGCATCAATAACGTGTTCTGCTCACTAAATAAAGACAAGTGTTTAACATGGGGCGAATGTTGGGAGGAAAACTAATTATGTGCTGTGATCTAAAAAGTGGACCTTAGTGGAGTAGACAAACATACATATACCTACTTACTCGTACGTTTATATTTCATTTGTATCTCGATGGGTGTAATAAATATAATAATAATAATAATAATAAAAGAACTATATCACGGGATACGTTAAAGGTATTGAAAGAACGATATTTGAAATGGGCCATGCTTAAAACAAAACCATTGTCGTTCAAGAAAAGTATATTAAAGAGTACCAAAATATCGGCGGTAAAAAACACAAAAAATTTGAGTGGCTTGAAGTCTGATTCTACCTTCAAAAAAATTAGATCGGAAGCTCTTGCTTTGATTTGTTACAACTGCAACTAGCCCATCCTGACTTCATACAAGAAGTATCATATTTCCCTTTAATATTAAATTATTTAGCATGGAGCAAGTAACCTTATGGAGAAGCAAATTGATAGTGACCTTCCGTAGAGTAAGATTGGGTGAGACGGCGCGGCGGTTGAGATGGCGCACTTCTATATTTTCGTTAGCAAACAACAGATGACAGGTAATGTGCGCTAAACGGAATGAGTTCGCCTTTAGTATGCTATTTAAGGTGGCTGCTGTGTGTTTTGTCGAATTTCAAGTAAGTAATTCATTTATGTTTATTTGTTGTGCAATAAATTTTTTTATGCGTTGAGAAAATATATCGATTTCAGATGATGTAGTACTAGTTTATCATTTTATTCACAGTTATAAGTAAAGTAACATGCAATACACCATTCTAACCTTCAATTATGCTTTTCGTTACAATAGCTGTTGCATAAAATGGTGCGCCATCTCACCCGTCAGTGTCGGGTGAGTCGGCATAATTTTATAAGGGAGAGATGGCGCAATTTTTTAATTATTAAAATCTTTATTCATACTTTCTGATTGTAATAGGTTTTATTTAATAATGCTTTACCATAACTGCGATGATTGAAAATAGTGCAAATAAAATTACTTAGCTTGATAATTTTTAAAAATTATTTGTTTGCAACGCGTTTCGCTTATAAGATAAACATAGTCAGGCACAATTAAGTTATGTAGTATTGAATTCATGATTGTTTCTCTTTATCTAGAAATGCCAACTCGTTACAAACGAAAGGGGAGTTGTACAAGAGCAGAATGCTCCGAAGAACAATTAGTTTTGGCCATAGAATCTTTAAGAAACGGGACCATCGGGGTTAACGAAGCTGACAGACAGTTTAGAATACCTTGCACTACATTAAGAAGAAGACGAAAATCAGGGAATGTTGTGAAGCGAGGCTTGGGACCGTCCGCGTTTTTTCGTGAAGAAAACGAGCGAAAAATGGTTGTCCACATCAAAAAGTTACAGAAAAATGGTTTTGCACCGACAAGAACAACTGTACGCGAAATGGCTTTTCGACTTGCAGAACAACTTGGCTTACGACACAAATTCAACCAGCAAACTGGAAAAGCCGGTTCTGACTGGCTGAGATCTTTTTTACAACGCAATCACGATTTATCCGTTCGTAAATCAGAGGGAGTTTCATTAGCAAGGGCACGAGGAATGAATAGAAAAGATGTTGGTGATTATTTTGAATTGTTGGAAAACACTTTACGAGAAAACAACCTACTAGATAAACCAGGAAGTATTTTCAACAAGGACGAGACAGGATTACAGCTAAACAATAGACCGGGTTGTTATTGCTGAAAAAGGCTCGAAAAATGTAGCGGCCGTAACATCTGGCGAGAAGGGGGAGACAATAACACTAATATCATGTTGCAATGCTGAAGGCACATTTATTCCCCCAGCATGCATTTTTAAGGGTAAAAATAAGAAAAGAGAGTATGAAGATGGCATGCCTCCCGGCTCAGTAGTGTATATGTCACAAAAATCAGCTTACGTCAATGTTACAATTTTTTTAGACTGGTTGCAGAATCACTTCATGCAACGTAAACCACAAGGGACTGTGATCCTAATTTTGGATGGCCATACATCACACTGTAGCTCTGTTGAAGTATTGAAATTTGCTGAAAGTAATAACATCATACTTTTATGTCTACCGAGCCACACTACGCACTTCTTGCAACCGTTGGATCGAGCATTTTTTAAATCCCTGAAGTCGCACTACTATGCCGAATGCAATTTGTTTATGCGAGCTAACCCAAACAGAGTAATAAATAGATTACAATTCGGAAAATTATTAGGTGAAGCATGGTCGAAGTCTGCGACAGTGGGTAATGCTACATCAGCATTTCGC